ATATATTTCGTTGGTTGTAATTTTTTATTATTTTTTGTTACTTTTACATGATTGAACAAATTCGTGAAAAATACAATTTTACCTACAATATCCTTTTGGTTATATTTAAATTGATTAATATATATTTGGTTGCTTGTTGGTGCTAATGAAAATAAATTACATGGAACAAATTATAAAAAAATAAAAAACATAATTCTACCTGATGTATTTTAAACATGGATATAACCTTTTGGTTACCACTCATATTGATTCACTACAGAAAACAATTATTTATATAACATAATTCTATTCAATTTCAAGTACTTTCTTTAATATTTTTAACACCATTTTTATACCATACATGAATATTATGTAATTCTTTATATAATAGAATTCTATTCTCAGAGAAGAATTGTCTTTCACGTACTTTCTTAACACTAGAATTGTCTTTCACGTACTTTCTTAACACTCTTTTCACAATTACCTTCGAAAAACTATCGTAAAGGATGAACTTTTTTAAATGATATGAGACCGAGGATTTGCAATTTGAGACCCACCTAATATAGTTGAAAATTTGACATCCTCTTAAATTCACACCACACAATCCGATCAAGTGTTTATAATTAATTTGCATAACTAAATTGCAAATGACTTGTTTAGTTCTCGAGTTTAAAATTTTATATGTTTATTTTAATGTAACATTTTTGAGACATTCACATTTTTAATGAGTACTGCTTGAATAATATTAAATATTTAAGTTTGAATTTATATTTTTTTATGATTAGATTTGACATTAATATTCATTGTTAAATTGATATATTTCATGGACTGAATGTGGTTGTTTTATTAATATTTTTGTATTATAAATATAAAATTGTTATGAGTATCAGATACTGAGGGCAAAAATGTAATGTGTACAACTTTCAGACTTCAGTTTTTGTGTATAACAAACAATCTTAATGAATTCCGCGCTTAAAATTAAAACGTTATCAAACAAGTTTTCAAATTAATACAATATTCAGCACTTAAAGTTTCAGTGCTTAAAATTCAGTACTTGAAATTTTTAGTGCTTAATTTTCAGTTTTATTCGCCCTAAAAGTAGTTGTGTATTCACCCTAAAAGCGGAAGCAAATAAATACACCCATGTTCGCCCTGAAAGTAAAAGTTAATAATTATAGGTCATTTTTTTTATTTAAATAGCAACAAATAAATAAATAAATACTAGTCATAAGTTCAACCACTAAGCAGAAGTAAACAGATTTGGCCTGGAGACATAAATAAATAAATCTGAATTTTCTTACTTTTTGATGTGAGAAAGAAAGTATATAAGATCTATATTCTCACTTGGTTAGAGCCTTCGTGCTGATAACATGTTGTGTAATAATTTATTGTAATCTTCTACTAATATTACAAGATAAATATATAGAATTGAGGTGGAGAGAGGGAGCGAGAGCTTTTTACTAACCCACTTGATAGAACTTAATTGAATAAACACTGAATAGATTCAAAATTAAGCGTTTAATTGAGTAATCAAAAAATTGTTGGAAACGAAGCATACAAAACAGAAACTTTAGGCGAGATTTTGAGTAGGTCCCGAGCTAAGAATTATTTATGGATCTATAGATAAACGCGTTCCTTTCCGTAAGGAGATGATCGTGGTATATTACTTTCTTAAATTCGTTTTCGGGTGAATGAGAAATTAGTTCCAAAATAAGGTGTTTGATAAGCCTAAATGGGTATGCATAATAGTTGTTCCACATTGAAAAAATGATAAAAACAATTAGAGTTTAAATAAGCCAAATTTGAGATTTGGGTTTAGGCCTAAGGGCACCCAAGTTTTTAAGACGGGGTGGACTTAGGCAAGCTTGGGTTCAAACCATTTATCACACACACGCGTGCCTCGCCCAGCTTGGGCTTAATTGTAAAGTTTAGTTATTCTTTTTACTAAACGGAATTTTGAATTTGGGCCTGTGTTTGGACTTAATTTAATTTTTTGAGCTGGCCTTATTTAAATAGGTTTCATGAAAGGGTGTAACTGGTCCGAACCAGTGCATTCAAATGGTTGCACCTGGTCTAAACTAGTGCTTCAGTTTGAACTGTACCATCACATCTAATGCAGGTGATGATTTAGGCCACCCGAAAAGGCACCTTGTTGCCTATAAATATTCCCCTTGGGGTCATTTGCAAATAACTTCCAAATTCGTAATCCTTCTTCTTTAATTCTGAATTTTCTCTTTCTCCTCCTTCTTGTATACATATAGCAATAGTGTGAGTTTAAGTCCAGTCTATAGGAGAGAGTACTACACCTAGCCGGTTCGCCCATTTCTTTGGTTACCAAAGAAAGAAAGACCATTGTATCTTGAGAGATAGACGCTACTAAGTTTGTCAGCACCATAGCGGGACGAATTTGTCTTAAGAATATAGAATTAAATTCTAACCTCGACCTATTATCAGGTTCTTTTATTTTATATATACACTTTCATTTTATTATTATACTAATATAAGTATATTTTATTTAGTATAATATTTATCATTAGATAATTATATATATTATTATTATTATTATTATTATTATTATTATTATTTCATAATAGTTAAATAATAATACTATAGTATAGGGTACAATAATTTTGAACAACAAAAATATTAGTAGGTCTACCATATATATACTATATCTTAAAATTTTCAATACTTTATTTTCAATTTTATCAAACAACACTTAGTAAAGAGTGAAAAACAGAGGGAGAGAGTTTGTTTTCTATTACTACTATATTTTGCTGCTCATTACCGTGCTTATATATTTATATGGGTAAAGTGCAAAAATCTCCCCTAACTATGATAGAATTTGCAAATAACTCCTCTGAAGTATATTTTGTACATAAAATCCCTTGAACTATCATATTTAGTTGCAAAATACCCTAATGCATTGACTATATTTTATTAAATGACTATAATGCCCTTTCTTATTGAATTACACTCAATCTATTTTTCTTATTGAAATAAATTATGAGAAAATTTTTATACTAATTTGATGATATATTCTCTATTAAATTTGCATAAATTTACCTTTAAAATTTTAAATTAATTTTTAAAAAAAAATCTTCAGTAGATTATTTTAAAACAATTTAAGTAATTTCTTAATTTTTCATGAATATATCGCATAAAAAATTATTTAATATTTATTTAGGTAATTTATTAAATTTTCATGAATATATTTTATAAAAAAGAAGATATTTTTTATAGTAAAAAAGTTTTAGTGAGTATAATAAGTTTTAATATAAATAGTAAAGTTTTAATAATAAGTTAATCATTTTATAAAATGGTAGTTACAAATTTATTTATTTTACTTATTTTATAAACTGATATTATTAATAAAATTAAGATAAATGGTATAATTAATATTTAGATTAGAGAAAAGATAACAAAAATAATTTAGTAATAAATGACAAATATAATAAGAAAGAATAAAATAATCTTTATTATTATTATTATTATTATTATTATTATTATTATTATTATTATTCTGTACTTTACCTATTTATATATATAGAGGGAACTTGGTAGCCACACAAGTTATTGCATACCCGCCCTCTAATGTCAAGTGTTACTGGGAAAAAAAGTTTGGGCGTGGACCCCACACACTTATACCATTTGTACATAGCATATATATATATATATATATTAAAGCAATTATTATTTTTTTACTTTAACTGAAAAATTTATTATTTTTTACTATTTTGTTAATTTTTTCAATCATATGCCAATATTAAATCAAATTAAAAGAGTGATGAAATGAATTTATGGTTGTAAAAATATTATAAAACATTTATAGAGTGGCAAATTTATTTGTTGAGATATCTTATTCTTGAATTAAAATAATATATACAAAAACTATATATTAATAAAAGAGATAAATATATATATATATATATATATATATATCTCTTTTATTAATATATAGTTTTTACAAAGTATGTATACTTACATAACTAAATTAATTACAACATTTAATACTAGTATTATTTGTTAACTTTGAAATTCATATTTTTATTAGTGTAATACTTCTTTTATCATGAGTTCTTCATTTTAATCAATTAATTAAAAGATGAATTAAATGATTTATTTGAATTTTTACAAATTTAAATAATAAAATGGTTTCAAATTCAATGATTAAATATAGAGTGGTCATAATTCCTCTTATGAGGGAGCTCTTGTAAGAGCATTACTCAATTAATTATGCATACATACTTATATTATATGCATTTTGCTAACTATGATTTTATTATTTAATATGCATTTTCGAGATATGATGGTATGATATTTTCCCCTCCTTTGAGAGATGGAGTTTACAAAATTACAAGGGATGGAGTTTACAAGGGGTGAATTGGGGCGACAATCTGTATTCGTTGGTCATAATTGTGCCATGTCTATTTAAAGGTATTATAAATTAATTCGAACATGATATATTTAATAATCAATGACTCTCAACACTAAATGAATTTATTTATTAAACGGATTACACATGTTAGTTTAAGACCTATTACGCAAAATCATTATTTAGATAATTTATAATCCTCAATTAAACAAAATCATTATTTAGATAATTTATAATCCTCAATTAAACAATAAATACTAATATATATAAAAGTCTCAATTAAACTAAAATACTAAATAGTCTTTAGTTCATAAAATAGTAAATTAAAAAACACAAGTTAAATAGTTATCAAATAACCAAAATATTCAAAGTGAAAATAATAATAATAATAATAATAATAATAATAATAATAAAGCATCAAATACCCTCGTAGCGAAGTGATTAGAATACAAATGTTTAAATAAAGTTTGTGTTATAATAACCTAATTGTACATAATTAAACCGATATGTTTAAGTTTAACCCTCAACCTTATGCTGACAACATTTTCATCGGTTAATAGTATTGAGATTTTACCATCCGGATCTAATTAAGTTACTTGAATATATATATATATATATTTTTAAAAAAAATTTGTGCACACACGCCGTAGATATTTAAGGGAGAGAGAGGAAGAGAGAAGGGGGAGAAGAAGATAATCGGAATCGAGAGCAAAACAAAACCGTCTCCTTGCAGTTTCTTCAGCTGGGTTGGCTTTGTTTCCAAATTCCATCACACACGAGCTAAATTCTACGTATTAGTTTCATGTAGACGCTGTAATGGCTCTAGTCCCCAGTCGTCAGTTCTATCCAATAACCTTCTTAGACTCCTTCCAGAACTCATACAAAATCCATCTAACCACACGCCTGCAATTTTTGAGGTACGGCTCTTCCATTCCTTTCAAGAAACAGAATTTCTATGTATCATATAACACTATCAATTCGGACTCAAACCCACAAAGAAACCCACGAAGCGAATCCAATTTTACGCTCAAAAGTTCGAATAGTAGATGGGGTTTTGCAAATGAGACCCCAATTTCACAGTCAAACCCTAGTGTAAGTTCATCTAGAAGTAGTTGGTTGGACAAATGGAATGAAACCCACAAACAAAATCGGCCGAAACTGCCTCGCCCATTGTTGAATTATCGAAATAGTGGCAATTTATCTAGTTCTGGTTATGAAATAAACAATACTAGTAATGGCGGCGGCGGTGGCAGTGGTAGTACAATGGAGAGGATAGTGGAGAAATTAAAGAAATTTGGGTATATTGATGACGTTAATGAGAAGAAAGATAAGGTGGAGAGAGTGATTGAAAAAGGGTCTGTTGAGGATATATTTTATGTTGAGGAAGGGATGTTGCCAAATGCTCGAGGTGGGTTTTCGGAGGAATCACCATTGGGGGTGGAGAATGTGTTGGGAACTGGCAGGGAGGTTAGATTTCCATGGGAGAAACCGGTGCTGAAGGAAGAGGAAAAGAGGTTTTCAGTGAGACAAAAGAGTAGGACATCACTGGCTGAATTGACTCTTCCAGAGTCTGAATTGAGGAGGCTGACAAATTTGGCTCATCGGGTAAAGAACAGGACAAAAATTGGCGGTGCAGGTGTTACTCAAGCCATTGTAGATGTAATTCATGAGAAATGGAAGACGTCGGAGATTGTCAAATTGAAAATTGAGGGTGCACCTGCACTTAATATGAAGCGGATGCATGAGATATTGGAGGTTAGCTTTTTATGAAACAAGTTACAAGTTTATTTATTTCTGACGGTGCCTTCACTTTTAGATGTTCAAGAAATTCGTAACTATGCCATTTTCCTCTTCTGAGAAATGAAATGCATTATCAAGTATCAATAAATGAATCATATTCAATAAATCAAATCTTCCCGTGTATAAATCAGACAGTTCCATTCTCTATGAAAATCCAGATAGGAACTTCCTTGAAATTGTTCTGAGTACAAAAAAGCCATTAAACTCAAGTTCTTAATTGGAATCCTTATATCTGTGTTGGTTCCTCACCCTGGATATGGAGCTAAAAATTGTGAATTGGGCCAATGTTCAATTCTATTTCAGTTGAGATTTTCATGTTGTGAAGAGCCAAGAACCTTGGAAACTGTTAATGCTGGATCGAAGACAGCGAACCATTAAACATGTTAACTGACAACTAAACTGGAGTACAATTACCACTTCTGTATCTCTTTATTTATTTTTTAATTGTATTATTATTATTTATTTTATTGACGAATTCTGAGTTCCTTAACATATGTTATGAGGATTTTTATTTTTCCCTTAGTAGATGTCCAGGCAAACAAGACTACCTTAACTTGTCACATGATAGTCAGTTAACATTTGTTGAAAGTTCTGTCATCCAAACCTTCCATAATGTCGGCTTCTATTAAACAAAAGAAGAGGAAAAAGATAAAAACTTTTTGGGTGCAAAGAGGTGTCACATTTTTTGTTCTTCTATGCATAATTAAATATAAAGGCTGTAATCTAGGATAACCATACCATTTGATTCATTTACAGTTTCTAGCAACTTTCAACTTTGTGATGTTATGAGTTCAATTAGGAAATTCTTGCCTTCTCTGTTTAAGTTCTCTTACCTGTATTTCTCAGATGTATTTTTCAATCTGTTAATCCTTTTTAAGTGCTACAAATTGATTTAAGTTTTCTATACACAATTTTATAAAGTAGTTAGCAATTTTTTTTTCTTCTATGTGATAGATCTCAATAGATACTTGTTTCAATCCATTTGTTGATACCCCCTTTTCCATTACATTTAGAGAAAAACTGGTGGGGTGGTGATATGGAGGTCTGGGACTTCTGTTTCTTTATATAGAGGCCTGAATTATGAAGCTCCGTCGCTACGACAGGACAAACGGACATATATCAAGAATGAGGTTCCTCGTAATTCCATTAGAACAGCTACTGATAAAACTAGTGGCATTGCTTCAGAAAGTCCCTCTAAAGCTGGGCATGCACCTCAAACAGACTCAGAAAATACAGTTGAGCAGGAAAAGAACTCAGAACCATTACCAGAAGTTAAGTATGAAGATGAAGTCGACAGGCTATTAGACAGTCTGGGGCCTCGGTACACGGATTGGCCAGGAGATGATCCTTTGCCCGTAGATGCAGATTTACTACCTGGTATTATTCTTGGTTATCAACCTCCCTTCAGGTTACTTCCTTATGGAGTGAGATCTACCCTTGGAGTAAAGGAGGCAACAGCCTTACGAAGGCTTGCTAGAGTTCTCCCTCCACATTTTGCTTTAGGTATGCCACTCTCTTCATGTCTACGGTACATGTGGTTTTCAAGAAATCTTTTTATTTTTTAATTTTTATTTTAAATTTGCATCTCCAGGTCGAAGCAGGCAGCACCAAGGCTTGGCTGTGGCCATGATTAAGTTATGGGAAAGGAGTTCGATTGCAAAGATTGCACTGAAACGTGGTGTAATGCTAACTACAAGTGAGAGAATGGCTGAAGAAATCAAGGTAATAGACTATACTTTATAGGGCATGACTTTAAAAAGCTTTGACTTGATTCCATACCGTCCCACTCTTCCTACTTGGTCTGATCTCTGAAACTTCAAGAGCTTAATTATGTCCATATGCACTTGATAATGTTATTTCTTTTATGTTCATCTTCTTAATAAGTTTGTGTCATCCTTTTTATGCAAATGTAGCAAAATAACCATATCTGTATTTAACATTTTATTTTTATGAGAATAAATTCTCCATTCAGTGTTCTTAATTATTTGTCTAGACTAGTATCGTACACTTGTCCCCATAGATATATTGTCAAAGCACAGGGAACAAAATGTTGAAATGTTTATACTCTTTTTTTTTTTTTTTAAAGTGTTGAAATGTTTATACCATTGCTACATGATAGGCTGCAACCGGTGACAAGGTGAATGTGTTTTTATTTATTTATTTATTATGATGCTATACTATATATGTAATTAGTCTCTTTCGTCTTCTTAAGAATCTGTTGTCACGGTGCCTTTCCTTTTATTTTCTAAATTAAGTCATGGGGGATGTTATTCGATTACAATTCCACTACTTGAAAATTTTCAACATAAGTTGGAAAGCAAAAAGAAAAATGGTGGAATATCTGTTTTGATCAAGCGATCAAGTCTTTTGGTTTTGATCAGAATATCGATTAGCCATGTGTGTGTACAAGAAGACTCTTCTAGCCTTCGGAATATATTGGTGGCTTGAGGTGAGTCTCATAAGCCAAAAACATGGATTATTTAGTATTAACCCTAATCCTAGCTAGGATGTTTCACTTCATCCTAGCTATGGATATTCAAAAGGAAGGGAAAAAGGAAAGGTATATGTGGACGGAATTTAATTAATTATCAGTTGTAACTTTGACATTCTCTGCCATTTGGTCTGAGCTCACCTCACCTTAACTCAACGAAACCTTCACATCATTGTACTCGTGAGGTACATTTTGTTATGTATTTGTGTAGTTTATTATATTTTTTAAGATTGTGCACTTATCCAACATAAAAAAGACCAAAAAAAAAAAGAAAAAGGAAGAAGATTTGTAGGTGGTTATTAGGATTCAAATTGCCTTATTTTTGGGGCGCATGTCAGTTTTTTTTTTTCAATTCCTGTAGTAACCAATGTAGCATGCCATATTATTGGAATCTTAAATCTTTCCTGTGGAATACCAAGGTCTCTTACTCCAATATAATGATGGTTATGCAAATTGTTTCCATGATCATCGTGAGCTAGATGAATGGTGATAAATAGAATCTTCTATGTCTCTCTCTTAAACACATCCTCATTTTGTTGCTTATGAAATACAGAATGACTTAAATGGTCAAAACAAGGAAAAGTTAAGATTCAGAATTCTTCAGCAGTCTGAACTAAAATCCTGGATAAAGTGCAGTTCATATTCGAAATCCAACCATTCAGGTTGAGATTAACAACCTAATTTTCCCATCAATTGTTCTGAGATCAGTGAGGCACGTGTACAGTGAATTTATTATCATGTATTCAGTCAAATGTGGTTGTGTTCATGGTTAATGTTCATACTTAATATTTAAAGACACCAGTTTGAACAACTTAATTGGAACATCTTGTGTACTCGATGCAGAAATTAACAGGAGGCATTCTTCTCTCCAGAAACAAAGACTTCTTGGTGTTCTATAGGGGAAAGGATTTTTTGTCACCAGAGGTTGCAGAAGCATTACTAGAAAAAGAGAGACTGGCAAAGACCCTACAAGATGAAGAAGAACAAGCACGATTGAGAGCATCATCACTGGTTATACCGGGCATTGAAATAACCGATGAATCTGGAACAGCTGGCACACTTGGGGAAACTTTGGATGCAGATGCTAGGTGGGGAAAAAGACTGAACAATCATTACAAGGAAAAGGTGATGCAGGAAGCAGAAGTATTAAGGCATGCCAACCTTGTCAGAAAGCTTGAACGGAAGCTTGCTTTTGTAAGTTCAGCAAAGCTTAGTCTTGTGTCATGAATGATATGTTTATACTAACTCTTCTGGAGAGCATCTTATATATTCAATCATACATATATAGATACCATCATCATCCTTGCATTTATTACAACTGAATTGGTCGGCCACATGAATTCACTTTATATATGACCCAACATATATATATAAAACTTCTAACAATTCTATTACGCATGTCTCCCCTGATATTCAATTTTTTAAAGTCAATTTCTTCATCCAAAGTAGTTTTGGTCGAACTCACAGTCTCTTACTTTCTGTGCGGGCTAATCTTCCTTTTTTGACTGGAGCATTGACGGGCCTATGTTGTTTGCGTCCGTATCACCTAAGCTTTGCTTTCTCTTATTTTGTCAGCAATAGGTGCTATATCTAATTTCTCCTTCACACTTGTACTTTCTCTTATTTTGTCAGAACTGGGTACCATACCTAATTTCTCCTTCATGCTTAGATCAGTAAACCTATCTCTTCTGGTCACTCATATCATCTTTCTCAACATTCTCATTTCAGCTACATGAATGCGCTCTTCTTGTTTCTGCCCCATATAAGATAGGTAACCTAATAACCGTTCTATAAAATGTTATTTTTTTTACTTATTTTGATTTTTTTCCCCCTATCACATAGAAACTCCACTAGCCAGTCTCCATTTTTTCTATTTTATTCCAATCCTGCTAGTAGTATTATCATATATCTCCCCATCTTTTTGTATTATTGATCCTAAGTAATCCTTTAGTCTTGAATTGTTATTGTTGTGTTATCACTTTCCGAGACTTTATTAAATCTACATTACATATATTTAGTTTTATGATACTAAGTCTCAATACCTTTGTTTCTAATGCATTTCTCTACATTTCTAATTTCCTAGGGCTTCCTAGAAGTATTACACAGCACTATGTTATCAAGAAACATCATGCACCATGGAATGTCTTATTGTATGTCTTTCGGTATGCAACATGCATCACGCAAACGACATGTACCATGCACACAAACATATGGTGAAGTCACTTCAACCTCAATACCTACTGGTTCTTCCTTTGTAAACCAATTTGCCTACATGGTTCTCTCCCTAATATTTTATATATATATATATATATATATATATATATACACACACACGTATGTATATTGGATATTTAGAAGGGTAAAAAAGATTTAAAAAAAATTCAAATTAAAGTTTTATATAATAAAACACTTTTCAAAGCCACTGCTATCCAGGCATGTATGTGGCTCTTTTTGGAAAACCATTTGCTTATGTGGTGCTATTTTTATCTTATCTTATGAATCTAATGGGTTATGCGGCATGCACAACTTTCAGACCTTTTTGTTTTATGTTCTTATGGTGAGGTGTATGTAAGGTTTTTCACCGAATCTACTACTTTATTAATTTAAAAGAGTCGGTGCTTTGAGCACTGTAATTTTATTGCCTCGTGAAATAAACATGCATCTAACATGGATTCTTATATTAGAAAAAGAATATAACAGCAGCAACGGAAGAAAAAATTATAATCTGTCACATATTGAATGGATGAGAAGTTTTCCAGTAAATTACATGAATCTCTCCTAAGCTGTGAACTAATTATGCATATGTTAGGTTTGGAAAATGAGTAGATGGTGGTGGCTGAAGCAGCACCTCTGTTAGATGGGTGAGATGGGTTTGTTTAGAGATGAGGACAGAGAGTGGTTTGTTTTAAAAAGATTCGATGGTGGCTGGTTTGTTTTAAAAAGATTCAATGGTGGCTGAAAATTAGATAGAGAAGTAGGAGAGAGCCAGCGTAGAGAGATTACCATCCATGGTGACGCCTTCCAATGAATATAGATATTACCTCACAAAAGAGAGATGGAGAGAGGGATTAGAAGAAACGGAAACAGGTTGGACATAAATTAGAAATTGCCGCCTTGATTTTAACTGATTTTCAGTGCTGGTAACCATTGTCTGCAACTTGACGATTGGTGTCATATATTGAGATATCGCATGAGCAAGACTGTTAGGAATAATTGAATTTATACAGATGTTTATTGCTGTTTTCAATCTTTATGGTAGTGTGTGTGTGTGTGTGTGTGTATTTAGAGAAAGAGAGATGAGGGCGGGCCTTGGCGCAAATGGAAACAGTGAGGTAAGGCTGTGTATATCAAACCTTCCCCAGACCCTGCAGTGATGGGAGCCTCGTGCACTAGGCTAGCCCTTTATAGAGAAAGATGGTTGGAGAGAACAAACACCGATTATCTGCGAAACCATCAAACAGTATGTATAGATAGGATATTAATTTAGGATTTATAACCTGATTTTTTTCTTTCGGTAAGTTATTGCTGAAGTATGAGCACGTGTTCACGGCCAGCACGTGGTGACTCAGTCAGAAGTAGTGGTTCTTTCATAGCTAACAGATGTGGAGGTCCAATTGTTTCATAGAGTAGTGTGAAGCATAGTTGAAATCAAGTTTGGTGATCCATAACATTCTGATTATTGCATCGTTGTCTTCATTGAAGCAGTTGTAAATGACGCTGTGTGGGGGCGTAGAAGTGTTAGTTCGTTTGAGTAAGAGAGATCCAGGAATGTATGGGTTAATGGTTTCGAGTTCGACTGATTCTTTCTCGTCCAATTAAAGAACAGGTGGTGATATAATGATATTGGGCAGGAGGGTTGACAGGAAATGATGGTGCGAATGAGGGCTGAGGATGAAGCTGAGAGGACCATTGGAGGTAAAAGCAGAGATGAGTTTTTATAAACATGAGCTCTTCCAGAGATGTAATGAACCAAACCGGCCAAACCTAAAATAGGAATGTAAGCGAATTTAAGACTAAAATAGTGGTCTTAGACTATTAGTAGAGGAGTGTAAATGAAAAGAAAATTCAAAAGTGAGGGCAAAACATAACCTGGTTTCTCACAATTTGTCTGAATGAACATTATTTTTTTCAAACAAGCTGCTGAAATGGCAAAAAGTAATAACACATTGGGCTGGACAATTGACATCTCAGCCCTGCAACCAGTTTTATAATTAATGGTGGGGTGCTGGTGGAAGGAGAGAGGAGAGAGAGAGAGAGAGAGAGAGAGAGAGAAAGAAAAGGTGTCAGCAATGCTGAAATAGTATCAGAGAGGAGAGAGAAGGTTCAGGGACGTGTTGACGCTGGTAGAAGGTGTTGAAGGTGCAGAAACCAGGTAGGTTTTGCAAAGGAAGCTCAGAGAAACCAAGAAGGAGAAGGAAAGAGGAAACTGAAAAGGAAGGGACGGCAGAAGCAAGGTATATGTGAAAGCTTGCTTAGTATATAATATGAAAGCTTGGTAAAAATCTAGTAAAAATAACTTGGTAAATCCATATGTTAAAAGTGTAATTTAATGAAGAAAGCGTAGTAATGGTAGTTTAGCTAAACAATGTGAGCAAAGTGATATGGGTGTTGCCGGCATTTGTTAGGGACTAAGGTAGGATTATGCATGAATAAGTAGGCTTGAGGTTGTGATTATATATTTTACTGCCTTATGATTAAAAAAGTAACAGTAGTTTAGCTAAACAATGTGAGCAAAGTGATATGGGTGTTGCCGGCAGATGTTATGGACTAAGTTTGGATTATGCATGAATAAGTAGAGTAATGACGGGAGGTTGTGATCATATCTTTTACTGTTTTATGATGAAGAACATCTTGATTGATGTTGATTGAGGGTGAAGAATCTTTTGATTATAACCCTAGGATCTGATGTATAGTGCGCGCAAGGCTCGATCTACATTTGGAGGGGGTGAATTGGTCTTGAAAAACTGATACAACAAACTATAAAAGGATTTTGAAATTAAACTACTATTGACGAAATTTCAAATTTTGACCAACTAGAAGGCAAGTAAAATTATTCATGACTGCAGGTATAAAGCATATAAATAAAGTAGATCATCCACATATGTAATGCACGAATTTTACGAAAAACCCAAGAAGGAAAACCAAATCCGCTATGAGAAAGAGATTTGAATCTAGGTTAACTAGATTCTAAACCTTAGAAACCCCCAGGTCACCTCCAACCTAGAGTCACACTAGATGATCCAATTGATCCTTCTTGCTGTCAGTCACAACTTCTGATACAATCTGCATCTCCTTTAGCACAATTATTTCAATGACTTGTGATGTCCTTATCTTCATGTTTGTTGCTTAGATGCTTTTAGGTGTTTCACTACTCTTTGTAACACTTGTTTACGATGGTCAACTCTAAAAACCATACACTCGCCAACTAAATACAATGGTGACGTATGATATAACTTTTGAATGATCATAGATATACAATTTATCGACTTTGTATACAATTTATCGACAAAATCCAAAAGAACATCCATAGATATACAATTTTGCCCATTCACCCAAAAAAAGAAGAGAAGACAGTATATTGAATATCAAAGATGAAAAACAGTATATACACTTGTTCATGTTGCATCTCTTGTGCATTCTAGTAATGCTTGATTTCTATAGTTTTTATTTTTCATATTCATCATACAATGTCAATCCCTTGTTGAATAATCTACTGTTGCTGATCAAAGTTCTTCAACAATGAATATTACGCACAAAAGTGGACAGTAGTAGAAAGGAGATAATAAATCCATTGAGAAGTAGCTCACACAAGAAGCAGATTTGTCGATGGATCAGTGGCTGGAAGAATCTAGGGAGATCTTGCGTACGTTTGGGTTGGGAGAGACTAAAGGATTCGAAGGAGAATTTGGTAACTTAGTTGTTGTGAGGGTCGGTGGGCAGGAGCAGGCCTGTGAGAGGCAAGGCTCTGGTGCGAGCTACGTGTGTTCACACTTTCCACATTGCCTGGGTGTGGAAGAGTGAAGTGCTACATGAAGGTTCATCACCCTTCTATGACACAATGTGTTTTAAAGCCGTGATGTTAGTGAATCTATCAGAACTCCGGAGTTAAGCGTGCTTAACCTAGAGTAGTACCAAGATGGGTGACCTCCTGGGAAGTCTCTGGTCCGGGGGAGCCAAAAACGGTCAATATTGTGTCTGGTGGGGAGAGGGCCGTTATAAATGGTATCAGAACTTGACCCAGCCGGAAGTGTGCCGACAGGGACGTCGGGCTCCCAAGAGGGGTTGAATTGTGAGGCTCGATGGGCAGAGTAGGCCTGTGAGAGGCAAGGCTCTGGTGCGAGCTACGTGTGCTCACAATTCCCACATCGCCTGTGTGTGGAAGAGTAAAGTGCTATATGTAGGTTCATCGCCGTTCTATGACATAACGTGTTTTAAAGCCGTAATGGCCGTGAACCAATCACCAGAGTTAAGCGTGCTTAACCTGGAGTAGTATTATGATGGGTGACCTCCTGGGAAGTCTTTGGTCAGAGGGAGCAAAAAACGGACAATATTGTGTCTGGTGGGGTGAGGGCCGGTACAGTTGTAAACCTCTTTCTACATAGTTGATTTAGATTTGCCTAGTTAGGTCCCGTGGTTTTTCCCATTTTAATAAGAATCTTTGTGTTATGTGTGTGATTACTTTATTTTGACTGCTTTATACTTTTGCATGCATTATCGATGGTTTAAATTATACACCTGGTAGTTAATTAGGTTTTTATTTTTTTATTTTTTTTTATTTCTGTTAATTCAGTTGAAGTTTAAAAATTAGGAAAAGTCCGGTAAAAATTAAAATTAATACCCATTCATGCCTTGCACAACTACAATAAGAGCTTGGGGTTTGGTCTAGTAGTCTTCTCAATATAAGAGCATATTGATTGTTGTAGATTCCTCAGATCATTTTGATATTTTGAGTAAAACAGTTTTGATATCTGTCTGTAGGCACAATTAGTGCTCCTTGATGTGATACCCATATGATTTGTAATGATAATTTACTAAATTTTTTTTCTTCTTGTTTAAAATTTACTTAATGGGTTTCCATTTCTAGAATTTTAGTTGCCTGAACTTTTAGAAAATTTGTCTAATAGGCTGAGCGAAAAGTAATGAAAGCAGAACGGACCTTATCTAAGGTGGAGTCGACTTTAAATCCAGCAGAACTGCCACCAGACCCAGAAAGCATTACTGATGAGGAGAGGTTCATGTTTCGCAAGCTTGGATTAAGAATGAAAGCCTTCTTACTTCTTGGTATTTGTTTATATAATTAAAAAATAAAGCTATACCTTTCAATTTTTTCATGATTTTCATTCAGGATTATGAAGTATTAAGTGAACATGTTCTTGTTTCAGGTAGGCGTGGAGTTTTTGATGGTACAGTGGAGAACATGCACTTGCATTGGAAGTACCGGGAATTGGTTAAGGTCATTGTGAAGGCTAAAAGCTTCGACCAGGTCAAAAAGATTGCTCTATCCCTTGAAGCTGAGAGTGGTGGTGTTTTGGTGTCAGTTGACAAAGTTTCTAAAGGGTATGCTATAATTGTCTTCCGGGGTAAGGACTATATGCGACCTTCCTCATTGAGGCCGAAAAATCTTTTAACAAAAAGGAAGGCTTTGTCACGTTCAATAGAACTTCAAAGGCGTGAGGTAGTTACTCATATTTGTATTTCTTTGATCCAGAGCTCTTTCTCTTCCGGATGCCATGCTAAATCTTACTTTGTGTATGCATGCGATTGTATGCTATATTAGTAGTAGTAGTACTACCATCTTTACTAGGTCCACTCTATTCTGTATTATGATGTGTAAAAACTGAGACCCAATATTCAGCTATTCGGACCAAGGGGTATTTCAGTCTCTCCCTTTTAAATAGTTTGTAAATACTCGTTCCACACATATATACGTACTCAAGTTAATAAAATATTTTTCCAGAGGAAAATACTTTTGCACGCCATATAGATCTAAAACTAACTAAAGATTCTCTCTTATTATTATTATTATTTTTTCTGAATCATCTAGTGCACATAATAACCATTTTACTTGTTATACTCTCTCTTCTTTTTCTTTTTCTTTTTTCCGTTTTTGTGATAAGCGCATATTATGCCCATTTTTATGTACGGTTTTTAATTTTTTAATATTAAGTTAATAGTTAAAAAAACCATGTTAAAAGTTTCCCATAAAACTATCCTAATAGTTTCCTATACAACCATTGACTACTAATTGCTTACTGTTGGCAACCATTCTTTCTAATCTAAATAAGTTACTAAATTATAAGATAATCTTCAAATCCATCCAATATCTCACCTTTTCTCTCAAGCTTGAGTCCTCTCCCACTTCTCTCACTGTATAGAATATATATAATATACATAGAAGGTATATATAATGTATAATTGTATAATCCGATCAATTGCGTAAAGCCCACGGTAGCAACGGAATACAGAAAAGACAGTTCTTTTCTATTACATCAGTATTGGTATTTTCTATAATATTTTTATTGGATTAGTATTTATTATATTAGTCTTAGTTAGTGATCCCAACTTAGTGAGTCCTTTCTTCCGTGATGAACTGTTGGCATCAGTCCTACATTTTCTCTGTGTGAAAGAAACTATTAAAATGTAAACTTGTAAAACCTTTTTTTCTTTTCCTTTTTCCTTTTTTTTCCCCCCCTGTAACAAATGATTGTGTATATATTCAATTAGAGAATATGTGCAGTTCCAGTTCTCTCATGTTCGTATTCTTTCCCATAGTTTACTATGTTTCCGAACTTTATTTTGGTTCCTGGAGAAATATTTTGTGGTATCTGTATATACTGTTGCTGGGTTTCCAGTTATATGTTGGCGTACTTAATCAGAATCTCATACACATTAGATGATAACACATTTGCTATATGCATCTGCTAAATTTATATGCTTGAAATTTATAGGCGGTCTTTATGATACTGACTCGTTTTTTGTCATTCTTTTGACAAACAGGCTCTCCTGAATCACATTTCGATGCTGCAAACTAAAGTGGAAAATTTGAGATCCGAAATTGTATAACCTCAGACTTATTTTAGTACCATCTCTTTTAGCCTGGATGACTAATGGAGAAATTCATTGTTTTATCTATTTTTCACTCAAAGCTTGTATTTGATCCCACAATTGTAGGGACAAATGGCAACTGTGGAAGACCTCGGAGATGAGAAGCTGTATGACAAATTAGATTCTGCTTATCCTACTGAAGAGGAGAGCGAGGTGACTATTCTCTCTGATTTTCTATTTTTCCTTGTTATGAGCTCGTTCGTGCTCTTATGATTGCACACATCTTGTTTTGTTATTTTTCCTCTTCTAGGAGGAAGGAGATGAGACATATCTTGAGAACTACGATAGTGATGATGATGATGATGATAGTGATAGTGAATATGAAAGTGACGGCTCAATTACCAATCTCCGGTTAGAAACCAATTTTCCATATGATTTCCAAGATCAGGAACCAGAAACAGAACATGAGGATCTTGATCCATATGCAGTTGCCAATGCATCATAAGCAGGCGTTGATGAAGTGGAGGAAGACGATAAGAGTTGCACAGGGATTGAGCTAATGGAAGGAATATATGATTTACTGTCAAGAAGGGAATTGCAAGGATCGTCGAAGGCATTATTGCAACATGTAGTATCAGTGCATGTTGTGTGATGTTATCTCATGAAATGCAGGAATTTGAAGGAAATTTGTATAGAGATTTAAAGCCAAGGATTGTTGATTTTAGCAAAGAGATGCAATCTATGCTTGTCGTTCCTCTCCGAATTAGAGATGTTAATAACTTATCGGCACTGTGTAGGCATGCTTTTCCAGTAAAGGTCCACAAACTAAGGCTCCATTTGTTTTGATGTACAACATTTTTGTTGTAAAATGTTTTTCTTGTAAAGCTTTTTACATGTAAAATAATTTTTTCCTATTATTTTTACATGTATTCTCAAAAACAGGTAACTCTCTCTCTGTCTCTCTCTCTCTCTCTCTCACACACACACACACATGAAAGACAATAAGAGATGACCCAGTTAGTTAGGTTTCACCAGAATTAACTTGCTTTGGGTATATTTCTCGCATAAAATGTCCCATGACTAGGAATACAATTGAATGGTGGTTGTGACCTGAAACATGATTGTGGTACGAGTGTAATAGTAACTTTACAATATTCTTTTTAGTCATTTGCGCATGCATTTTTTTAATTCCTTGAAAATGTCATTTAGAGTCGCCTCACTCATATCACATAATTTATCCCAAATTTGTTACTACCTTGTGAATTGTCGGACTCAATCTCCTCTTTCCTGTTCTTTTTCAAAAATTCACAGGGAGGGTGTTATATAAAATTGATTTTATTTTTACACTTTGTTTTCTTATAATGATTCTTTATAAAATACTCAAAGAAATGAAATACTGATCTATACATTCTACAGAAACATTGACTTGGTTCAGATCCAAGGGCAGAAATAGGAATCATCAATAAAAACATAACAGGCAGCCAAAGGAAAACCTTCATCTCCACTGTAAAACTAATGAATGGCAACAAATTTTTTCAAGGCACTCACATAAATAAATAATCAAAATCACGTTCCTCCTGTGTCCACAACCACCAGGTCTTCAAATTACAAATTCAAAGCGTAAAAGTTTTCGATAAATATACTAATATAGCCTGTTCCTTGAAAATAGAAAAGGATTATATTATCCAGATTGCTGACACATATCTCTCACTTGAGAGGAATGAACCTTGATGAGTGGGTGGCACCAATACCAGGTCTACCATGCTTGACCGGCTTGTACGAGATTGAGAACTCAGCTAGATAATGGCTAATCATTTCAGGCTTGATCTCAACCTGATTGAAGGTCTTGCCATTATACACCCCAACGATGCTTCCTATCATTTCGGGGACTATGATCATATTGCGTAGGTGGGTCTTGACAGGTTCTGGCTTCTCACCAGGAGGGGCCTCCCGTTTCTGATCCATAGACAAGACTTAGTAGAGTTCTTCCTCAACATTAATTAATAATATAAAACAGTATCAAATAGCCAATGAAACAAAAAATTATTTTGACAAAAATCATAATATCATTTTGAGATAATTGCAATGCAAAGAACATATCTGAAGTGTTTTGATATAGAAATCAACACAAGTGGCAACCATATAGGCGGAAACCAAACAATGCATTCAAGCGTGCTAAGTCACTCAATTTGTAATGGTTAACAGAAGTGTTGGGATTTGCAAGGATGTTAGCATCTGAGTGTTAGGCACTAAGAAACAACAGTACCAATAAAACCACGATAGGTATCTTTCACTTTTCTAGAAATACCATGTGTGCATCAACCTTTCAAATCACCAATGCAAGTAGGATTAGAGACTCTCCTAGGTGTATCTCATCACAAGCACAAGTGTATCTTTTCACCACTATCGCTGAAAGACGTCTAGCTGAAAGACATCTAATATAAATCATAGGCGTTAATACATCTTTTAAAGTCAGCAAGATTGCTTAAAACTAAATTAAAGACACACAAATATTACCTCCACTCGCGCAGTTGTATAACAATACTAAAACCCCACCAAAAGCTCACAAATATTACCCCCACCCATGCAGTTGTATAACAATACTAAAACACCACCAAAAGATATGTACTTTTCCTTGATAAATAAAAATTTAGCAAAATACTTGAAAACGCAAAAATAAAAAAATAAAAGAAAAAGAAAAAAGAGATATCATCCATTTTAAATATGAGGACAGGGCTTTCAGCAGTAAGAATGAATTTTAATTGGGACACGACATAAAAATAGAGACTCATAATACGAATGAATTTACATTCGGGGTATACAAACAAAGCAGAAGAAAAATAGAGGAAACACATGTTTAGACTTCTTCAATCATCAGCCCAAATAATTTACACACTAATACAAACAAGTATTTGTATAAAAGGCAATGAAAATTCCAATTTCTAATTCTCGCCAAAACTACCAGTTTTTAAATCTTTAGGATACAAAACATTGATTTTCTAAATGCAGGTAAACAATAAATTATGTTAATGTTTCAATACTTGCAGCACTGTATACTTCTATCTAAACAAAAGCCGTTTGATGTACAATTATTGGACGATTTTAACAGACTTTCTATGTACTTCTAGACATCCATATTTTATTGATTAGTAACTTAATTTCAGCTTCAAAGCACAAGACTCATTTATAACAATCTACCCAGCAAGCATCACAACATTTATCCAAAAAAAAAAATCACCAACATTCTCACCTTTTATGTACAGTATAAAACCTTAGACAATGTAAGAATATCAAAGGCAAAATGTATATAAATATACATTGATTGTTTAGTAGCATTATGTGTGTGTGTGTGTGTGTGTGTGTGTGTATATATATTCTGGTATGATTTCAAGATTGCTACTTTTCTTCACTTCGATATTAAAAAATCCACTTAATAATAGTGTTTTCCACTAATTTGCCTATTATAATAAAACAAGCAAACCGTTCCATATTTCAATATTCGGAAAAAGATGGCTTTAATGACTAAATAGAACCAATTTTCCAGATCGACTCAACCACAACCGTGAGATGTTGGATGCATTTTCAACAGTTGCGGTCGAGTCCATCTGGAAAGTCATTCTATTTAGTTGGGCTGTAGAACATTAACCTTTAATCTTTTACAACTATTCACTTTTAGAAAGAAGGGAACGTGTTTTATACCGTGCATTCAAATAGTACCCCTTACCTTTGTATCAAATTAACACAAGTACACTTTACCATATTTCAATCTTTTGAAAAACATATCCTAAATGCCTAAATAGGACCGACTTTCTATATTCTCAACCACAACCATTGAATGTTGGAAGCACTATCATGGTTGTTGTTGAGAGTCGAGTCGATCTAGGACGTCGGCCCTACTTAGTTGGCCGGTATAGCATTACTCTTTAATCTTTTACCACTATTCTCTTACTTCTAAAAAGTAGGGTACATGTTTGATAATGTCCATATAGACAAGACCGTTGTATCTGATTTTAACACGAGCAAACTGTATCAAATTTTTTTTTTTGACAAGATATTATTAGAAAGCTTTCAAAAGGGGAATGCATCCCAAAGGGCTAAAACTGTAACAGTTTTCAATCTTCAGGAAAAAAAATATTCCGAATGACTAAATAGGACTGACTTTCCAAATCGACTCAACCACAACCATGGGATGTTGGAGTCATTTTCAATAGTTGTAGTTGAGTCGATCTAGGAGGTTGGCCCTACTTAGTCGACCTATATAACATTACTCTTTAATCTTTTACCACTATTCTCTTACCTCTAAAAAGCAGGGAATGTGTTTCATAATGTGCATTCAAACAATTACTTTACATCAAACACCAATCATTTACCACCAATGTTATTTGGACTCGGGTATGTGCGTCGGGTGCAAGTATGTATCCCATCAGACGTTGAATTGTGAAACATACCTCCTAAATATTCAAATTATTTGTAATTTTTATTTTATGCCCAAAAAAAAGTGTGATCATGGAGTCTTGTGTGTTTGACATAACATAGCACTAATAAAATAAAATCAGCAAACCTAATATCTAAATAGCCCAAAACAGCACGACCCAGGTAAATCTCACATAAAAAATGAAAGAAAAATGGATTTAATCTGAAATCTGAAAATACTTACTGCCTTGCGAAGTTTCTTGATCAAAGCCATGGGTTTTCTCTTCAGACCTCTCTGGAACCTTTCATTGCAAATATTACAAATTCGTGAGAAGTGTATAATACAATGTGTGTTTCATCTATATCTTCAGAAATAGTCACACATATATATACACATACAAATATACTGAGATCTAATTAAGTTGTTATATATTACCTTCTGCGAGCTCGGGCAGGGAAGAGCTTGACAAGTTCGTCGGTGGACATGTCGAGAAGTGAATCCAAATCAACGCCTCTGAAGCTGAACTTCTTGAACGTCCTCTTCCTCGGCTGTCCTGCTGCCACATCTGCTTCAACATCCGCCTAACACACGGAAAGAGAGTAAAACACATTGATATATGGATATACATATATATATATGTGTGTGTGTGTATAGGGTACAGAGGTATGATGGAAGATTAAGAGTCGGAGTATGTTTATTCGAACATAAACTGGGATTGAAGACTTACCATCGTTGTAGATGAGATCAGAAACCCTAAAAAAAGAATTTCGATGCGTTCGCGGCTAGGGTTTTTCTTTCAGAAGTTACAAGTATGTATATTATCTGACAGAATATATATAGGAGTATTTATTTATATATATAAATGATTTAGAAATGGTGGACTTTTTTTAGATCTCCCCATTTCACATAAAAATATAAAAATAAATAGAATTAAAAAAAAGTTTACACATTTCTAATATAGCGTATGAGTTCTCTGTAATGATAATTTGGGCCAAACTTTCTTATATTCGAAAAAGATGACCAATAAGTCAGACAATTCACTTAAAAAGCTCATTTGGGATTGCTTCTCTCCGATTTAAAAGTTAGGATGGCAATTTTTTCCGACCCAACTGGTTTCCGCCCAGCCTCACCCCGCCCTTAATGAAACGGATTTGGTAACTCCCTAAATGGGTTTGGGGTAGGTATAGTAAAATAATTAAAAACCTGAAGTTGGTTTGGGACGGAGGCGGATTTAGTGATAACTCCGCTTCAACCCCACCCCGATTATATATGTACCTTTAAATTATATATGTATATAATATTTAATATATTTAAAACCCTTGTTACTTTGTTGGAAATGTCCATTAATATATTAAATTATTAATATTCACTACTTAGTAATTAAAAAGTCAGGTCAACTTATTTATCAGCCCAATTTGAGCACATTGAGTTAATATTTTTTTAAAAAAAACTAAATAATAAAATGGCATAACCCGCCTCCACCCTTGCCCCCTCAATTAAACGGAGTACGCTGGGCGGAGTTGGTACTTTGTCTACCAGAATTGGAGCAGGGATGGTATACCAACTATAAACCCGTCCCAGAGTAGGGGCAGAGTTGGTATAACTGATTTTCTAACGGAGCGGGGTAGGGTTTAGTCAAGCGCCCTGTGAGGACCTGCCCTTTATATATATATTGTTGACCTTAATGATTTCATCCAAGTACAATCTAAAGGTTTTGATAATAACAAACCATTAATGGTGTTTAAGGACTAATATTTACATTGAGTGTTATAGATTATTCACATTCAAAGGATGATCTCAATGAAGCACGAAAGATCATTCCGAGTATTCTATTATTCAAGATCATATCAAGGAAAGCAATGGATACAAAGAAGACATGAAGTTGCAAAGAAGCAAATGCAAAGTCCACCCAAAGATAGCTTGGACTACAACGAGCAAGAAAGCAACTCAAAGAAAGGAAGAAAGCAAGTCTACCTCAAAGCCTAAAGATCATGGACAATTCTTGAAGAAAGGGGTAGATAGGATGGTGAGTGTTTAGGATTCAATGTCAAAGTATTTATGAATCTATTTGAAATTCATCTCTATAGGACCATGCATATCATATCATCATTTATATGCTCTTATATCCATTAGCAATAGACTATGCACTTCATTCTTATATAATTATACATGAAGTCATTACTAAAGAGTGAGTTAGTTCAAGCTTGCATAAGCTTTGAAAGAACTCATCACTTGTGCTAGACATGCTAAGACCATGCACATCAATCATATAATTCATATTGGTCAACAATTAAGGCATGAGAAGCCTTCATTACCATGAGTTGGTAACGAACATTCGGACCCCAGAATGCGCGTCATGAAAAACTGTGTTTTTGGCTAAGTGTGAAAAATGAATTTTTGAAATAATGATTATTTCAAAATAATTTTTCCCGGTAATAACTCTTTATACTTCAACTAGCCTAAACTGATTTTATCAGAATTTTTGACCAAGTCTATATTGGTCTACATAAGGATTCAATTTTACCAAAACTGTCGGAAATCCAAATTTGTACTAAAATTGAATTTCTACATTTTGATTTAGTAGGATTTCAATTTTCTAGTATTTTTTATTGAATCCAAATGGGGGGTACTTCCTTATTTACATTGTAAACTTAAAGTAAGTAAAGACATTTACTTAAATGTTTTCAATGGAAACAAGGTATGTGCAGATGTCCTGTGCACAGACTGTTTCATCTGTTAGCCTAGAACAATTCTGAAGTAGCAGTTCCAGTTCTGCCTACCGAAACAAAGGACCAATTCATTTCGGTCTACCGAAATAAGTTAATGAAAGAACACTACTAGGTGTTTCGGTCGACCGAAACAGAGAAGGGTTTTACTTCGGTCTACCGAAACAGAGATGAGGATGATGACTAATCTTAAAACCATTTCGGACGACCGAAACACAAAGGTGTTTCATTTCGATCGACCGAACCTTGCCCAGATCTGAATCTGAACAGCTATTCCCTCTCAGACAGCATGCACAACAGCCATATTTTTGAATTGGTTTATCAAAACTCTATAAATAGAGTTGGGGACTTCGGGATTTCAGGTTGCTACCATTGAGAAACATTATATAGCATCCAAAGAGCTTTTGTTCTTCATTTTTAAATTATACTCTCTCATCCCATATCATTCATAGAGTATTGAGCTTCAATATATTCATATATACTCTAGAGTGAGCTAAACTTGTACATCAAATCTGTGAGAGATTATTGTGAGCTTTGATTTGCATATCAATCTTTGAGAGATATATTTGTATGCAACAAATCTGATCTTCATTTGTAAGGGCTGGTGTGGCCCAAGAAAGAAGAAGTAAGCTAGCTTCATTTTGCAAGGGTTGGTGTGACCCAAAGGAAGACTAAGAGAGGTTGTCTCTTAGCAAAGTGAAGCAAGTAATTGCTTCTAATCAAGGTTTGCTCTCCACCCGTAAGGAGGTGCCATAGTGGATTGAGAAGTCTCAAGAAGGGTCTTGAGCCGAGAAGTAGGAGTTTCCGAACCTCGCTAAAATCACTGTGTGAATGTTTGCAATCTTTCTTCCCTTATCTCTTTTACATTTATGCTATTAATTGTTCATGTTTATATCTTGATAATTGCCTAATTGTTAGAAGGGTTTCATAGTATTTGCAAATCCGAAAATTGGCCATTGTTTGCCAAAGACTCTATTTACCCCCCTCTAGAGTCTATACTTAGGCAACATATATATATATATATATATATATATATATATATATATATATATATATATATATATATTTTCTCGTTTATTTTTTGGGTTTGGGTCTTGTCGAACCGGATCGAGCCAATTGCCCGGAATAGTTCCCGACACTCCCTTCATTTCATCCTTGTGTATTTTACCCTTGTGTCATTGTGGAATTGTATTGCACTTGTAAACCATTTTACCTTTTGTTACTTGGGAATATTTGTGCGATTTTATTTTGTTGACATTTTCATTTTGGGGGAATTTGTGCGATTGTCTTTTGGAGATATTTTCATTTGGGGCCATAGTATGATTATCTTTTTAGATATTTTTATGAAGGGACTTTTGTGTAATTTATGAAAGTTAGTGCCATGTGTTGTGTTTTGATTGGGACAGGTGTTGGAGTTTGATTGGTGGCATGTAGATGGTTAGATTGTTGACAAGTGAAGGGTGGAGATGGTAATGTGTGACAGATGTAGTGCTAGGGTGCGTGTGTTTGATTTATATCATCTTCCTTTAGTTACATTTTTCTCCTAATCTTCTTATTTTTCTTCCTCTCACCTTGCTTCCACTATTGGTCCCCAAGCTATAAGCTTGCTTTTCCTTACCTTTCACTCACCATTTTGATTTTCCAAAAAAGGGAGAAAGGGTGGGGACACTAAGGCCTTGTTTGGTTTATGTTTTGTTTTGTTCCAAAAGTGCTACAGTACCACTATTGAGGACCAAAACATGTTTGGCACGGCCTTTATTGGTTTCAATAGTGTCAGAACATTTTGTAAAAATAGGACAAAAGTTGGAACAAGATTTTAGTGTTCTAGCTTATTCCCAAAATTTGGCCGGCCCACTTATCACTGTAGCAGGTGTAAATATGTCAAAACTTGTTCCATTTTGAGAACAGGTATAAACACAAATCACAACAATGTTCTAGGGTTCGCACAGTTGAAGGCGATTCGGCTCCAGTGCACAACGTCGGGCTTCAAATCGATGAAAACCAAACTGGGATTGAAATCGACGAAGCTTTCCTACACAGTCGTCTTCTTGTCACTACTGTGGGCTTGAAATCGACCACACTGAAATAGATCTGAAGCTTTCCTTGAGAGTCATTTTTTTCTCACTGGTGAGCACCTCTGCTTTTTATTCTTAACATAGTTATCCTTGTTCTCTGTCTAAAATTTTGACGCTGTTTAAAGATCGGACTTCAAATTGACCACTGTGTATGAAGATCTGAAGAGAAACTCCCTCTGTCTCACCTCTACATTTTCCGGTGAACCCAAGCTTCGCCGCTACCTTCTGTCACTCCGGTGAGTTCTTCGCAAAAGGGCTGAGCTCTCTCTTCATCGTGTCTCTCTCCACCCTCGGATTCTTTTCTCTCTATCCAGAATCTCCCCAAGCCCTCTCTCTATTTCCTCATCTCTCTCATCTTGGTTTGTTGAGTTTTGTTAGAATTTTGTTTAAATTTATTTTATTTATTTTTAAAGATGATACAAACTCATTTTTTTATACAAAGATCTGTGTGATAGGGCACAGTTGAAGCGGGTAGTGACACAAATACCATACTAGGGTTAAAAATTGAAGTGACGAAGAAGCCTTGTTTTTGATTCGGAACTTCACTCTTCTTCAGCAACTCCAGACAAATTTTCTTTGAACCAGGTATATAGCCCTCCTTCTAGCAAGTATGCTGCAATCAGTGATCTGCAGAAAGTAGCATAAGTAACATTTTAGTATGGTTTGTGACTCTTTCGACTGTTTTTACCAAGACTGTTTGCATTCTGGAACTTGTATCTATTTTTGATTCCACAACTGTTCGCGTATGCCAAAATTGAACTATGATTAGTTGATTAAAAAAGTTGTTTGAAACCATAGAATGCAAAAGAAGTGAGTCAGATAAAAGTCTCAAAATCACATAGACCTAAATATAGGATTTATCCATAGCAAGTTACTAAAACTGAAGAATATTGTATTGGTGGTTGTTTCTGTTGGCTTTTAAGTTTGTCATTTATGATGTCTCTTTGAGTTTGCTTGATACATTGTTTCTCTAGTAATTTCATGGATTATGGTTTTTCTAGCAACTACTACTATGCAAGGTGGCCACCTATTCTCAAATTTATTTTCCCTCCTTTGAAATCTTATGTAATAAAAAAATTTCAGTTGTGTTTAAGAAAGTAAATGTGATGTCTCGAGAGCTAATTTGATTACAACATCTAGCGTTTACCAAAGAAGATGAAGGCAATTTATATAAGCAGTTGTTGAGAACCTTAATAGCATGAAAGAAAGCCTATTATAGTTCTCTATGGATAATTTATTGAAGATTCTATGGTAAACACTATGGACTATTTAAAATCTATTATGAAGGCTATGCATGAATATTCATCTCCTCTATTAAATAATTGGTTTTTGTTGAAGTTTCCAGTGATGTCCCATCATTTATCATTACTTTTTATTATTATTCTTTTTACTCTGAATTTTAATTTTGTCATAACTTGGTTGGCTCAATATTTTAAAGAAACTCGAATGTTAGTATACAAAATTTAATAAAGAAGTCATCCTGAAAATATTCTATGAGACCATAGTTGTTAATGACCCTTTTAACCCATTCTTATTAAAACTATGTAATTAGATGGATATCAATGGTGACAATGTGGTGGGAGAAGAAATAGAGGACCTTACGGACAATATCGATGATGCAAAACTAGTATGGATGATTCTCAGCTCGAAGCTTTCATCATCTGTATAGAGAAAGAAGTGAGGGTTGGTAATCGGACTACCAGAACTTTTAGCACAATTGGTTGGAAGAATATAGTAGAAGGCATGAGCGTCCGTACAGGGAAGAAGTATGCACCGAAACAACTTAGGAGCAAATTCAACCACATAAGGGTAAAGTACAAAGCCTTTGTGAGTTTGTTAGCAGAAACAGGCGTGGGATATAATGCTGAGACGGGCATGGTTATAGTTGAAAATGAAAGATGGCCTAGATTGATGAAGGTTAGTTATTCAAATAAATGTATATTGATTTTACAAATGTAGACTTAACTTAATATTAATAGTACTTTAATAATTTGTAGGTGAATAACCATTATGGTGAGTTTCGAAAGAAGGGATGCAAGCATTTTGACAAGTTAACCACCATATTTAGAGGCATACATCCTACAGGTGCACATGTCCATACTTCGACTAATCCACCCATTATCAACCAAGCCCCCTCACACCATGCAACCATACATAGCTCATTTGAAATTGATGATTTAGCTGAGTTAGACGGTCATGAGATCAGTCCCTCTCCTGAACCTTATGGTAAGAAACCAAAGAAAGAGAGTTTTGACTCCACAATGAGCGATGTCATGGTGCAAATGAAAGACAAAGCTAACATGAAATGTGATCGAATTGAAAAGGCCATAAAAGAAGCTTTATCATCTAATATGAAAACAGTCCATGAAAAATGTCAGGTTGAAGTAAATTCTCCGGACAAGACAAAAGGTGATTTTAAGTTATGTTGATATGAAACAATATGCTAAGGTCATCTAAATGTTACGTAATGATGAAGTTTGGAGGGATTTCTTTCTAAATGACCTTCCTGATAATAAGAGGGTTGGTTGGATCATAAATCTTTGATTTTGTGTGTTGTTTTTATTATGACTTTGAATAACTGTACTATTAAGTATATTTTATTTGGTATGTTGCTTTTATTTCTTATTTGGTTTTGTTACGACTTTGGATGATTGTAATATTAAGTACACTAGTATTTGGCTTGGAATGATTGTAATGACAATATCAGTATTTGGCTTGGGATGATTTTATTTGTTGTCTTGCTTTTATTACTTATTTAGTATTTGGCTTGGGATGATTGTAATTTATGTCATTTCTTATATTTTATATTATACAGATGGATATTAGGACAATCATTGAGTTGCATGATGATGATGATGACGAGAATGAATGTGTCATCATAACGGCATGTTTGTTGGATTACTATATAAAACATTACCATAAACAACCTTGTAGGGATTCAATTTTAAGAGGGGAAACATATATATTGGAGATCTTGAACGGGTATGGAAATAGATACATTTAGGATGTCCATTCCTATTTTTTTGAAGTTGTGTGGGGAGCTTAGGTCATTAGGGTTGAAAGACTCTAAAGGTGTAAATGTTTATGAACAAGTTGACATATTCTTGCTTACTTTAGTTCACAATGAAAGGAATCGTGTGTTAGCAGAAAGATTTTAACACTATACTTATACAATTTCAAAACATTTCCATTCGATTTTACAAAAAGTGTGTGATTTAGGGAAAAAGATTATTGTCCCCTAGATTTAACCCAAGTTTCTAACCATATAAAGAAGTCAAAAAAAGTACAACCCTTTTTTTAGGAATTGCACAGGGGAAATTGATGGAACTCATATCCTTACGAACGTGCCTATGGACCAGCAAATACCATTTCGTGGTAGGAAGGAGGATACTATACAAAATGTAATGGTTGTTTGTGATTTTCATATGATGTTCATATACGTTGTAGCAAGATGAGATAGGTCTGCTAATGATTCTAAGATATTGAATGAGACCATTAATAATGAGGATATGCATTTCCCACAGCCTCCGGACGGTAAATGTCATACTTCCTACAATTTTGCAATAGTTATTTTAAATATAATGGTACAATTGTAAAATGGCAAAAAAATATTATTTAGTGAACTCCGGGTATGCCAATCAACCGGGTTTCTTGGCTCCCTATAGGGGTCAACGGTACCACTTCTAAGAGTACCATAGAGCTTTTCGGGCAACATCGAGGTAGAAAGGAAACATACAATCACAGGCACTTGTCTTTGCGAAATATCATTGAGCGTTGTTTTGGGATGCTTAAGATGAGATTCCCCATCTTGAAGCAAATGCCCCCATATAAGTTTGAAGCTCAGGTTGCTATTGTTTTAGCCTGCTGCACACTTCACAACTTTATAAGAAATGAGGTGCAAGTAGATGCAATATTTGATGATGCAACTGTGGAGGCGCTAATAGATGAAATATTTGAAGATGATAATGATGATGTTCAGGTTAATGTGCCGCAGTTTCGCTCGTGACTAATCGATATTTTACGTGATCATTGTAATACCCCGATAATTTTAAAAGATTTATTAATTAGGATTAATTATTTTATTTTATTTTTCAATGATTTATTTTATTTTATTGAGTGCTAGATTAATTATCTTATTTTAATTAAGTTATATTTCGTGATTATGTATGATGATTGATTGTTTGTGTGGTTGATTATTGATTGAATTATTGGTGTGTTGATTTTATTGGTATTATATGACTTAGTTGTAAATTCTTGTTTGTTTATGTGCTTCATGTAATTAGTTATTTTAATTTCTGTATTTAATTAATTATCTTATTTATTTAAATTAATTGGATTGGGCTTAAGGAAAGTTAGACCAAAAGATGTGGTCTTGGGCTTGTATGAAACCTTATTGGGTTAATTAATGAAGGTCTGTGGTTATTTAATTATTTAAATGATCACTTTTGTATCAATTATATTTATATATATATATATATATATATATATATAATTATATATAAATATAATTAATTAATAATTGTTATGGAAAGATATATATATAGATATATATTTATTGATATTTATAAGTATATATGATTTAATTAACTAATGAGTTAATTATGGAAGGAATATATATTTATATATATATATATGTTTATAGATATAAATTATTTAAAGATTATTATTTTAATTCATAATACTAGTTGGAATAGGATTTGGAATTTAAGGTGTATAAAAATACACATAAGGCTTTAGGGTTAAAGGTTTTACACGTTAGAAAAATAAAACAGACAGAGAGAGAGAAAGAAGAAGGGCTGACAAGGAGGACGTCGGATCTGAAAAGGAGGACGTCGGAATTGGAAGAGATAATTAAAGCTTAAAGCGTCGGTTTCGTTTCGAAACCTTCAGGCGAGTTTTCTCTAACTTTCCTCTTAGAACTCATAAGGATTTCACCTTGAGTATCAAGGCTTTAATTAAATTTATTTGTTTAAAAATTATGGTTAGATCGGAATAATTAAAAAGTATAAACTATTATATTTGATTTTTAGATTATTGGATTTTAATTGATATATATAGGTGTTATGTATATTTTAAAATCAATCTATAGGTGGATTTGTGACCCAAGAGAGTTAATTATGGTTTCTTTATTTTTCTAGAATTGTTCTGTAAATTTCTGGAATTTTTCTGATATTTTTAGGAATTTATTAGGATTTATTTTCCTATTATTTGTTAGGAAAATAATTATATATATATATATATATATATATATATATATATATACTAGGTAACTGGCGCATGTGGAGCGGCGGCACAATAAAGAATTGATCCAGTGCGGCGCGGTGTAGGATAATAGGGTGTATACGCCAATTAGGGCCATTTGATTAATTAAACTTATGTGAATTGATATGGTGCATCGCGGCGCATAAAACTTTGGTGCGCATGTGTATCTGGACCATAGAAGTGGTCTGGTCAACTATGGGATTATTTGGTGTATTGCAGACCATGAGAAGATGGTGCACTCGCTGATCTGGACCTTAGATCTATTATAGTTAATAGAAAATAATCTAGTGTGAGCGTGTTCACTTGCGCACTCATTTATGACCATTGGATGCGGCATAAAGGAAGTGATGGATTCAGTGTGGTGGGCTCACGGTAGCTGAAAGAGCTTAGCCAATACCAGCACACAAGGAGGCTTGAATCCAGCGCGTGCAAGTGCATAGTAAGCACGTGGGCGCGCGTGGGAAACTATGTGGGCCTAATTTGACACTAGAAATTAAAACGGTCATAACTTAGTCATTTTAAATCGAAATTGGGTCATTCTTGAGCTCAAATTCAAGGATTTTTCGTCTTCTTTCCAATGGTACCAATTTCATTATCAGATTCCCATCCTACTAGGAGATATTTATGTTTTAGTGAGAAAGTGTCGGAAAACTATTTAAACCAATATGGAGTATTTAAAGGAAACTATTTCTGACATATTTAGTTGCACTAATTTGTGTAAATATAATAAATTAATAATTTGTTATGGAAGGAAGTGTGTATATATATATATATATATATATATATATATATAATTATTTATATATGTGTATATATAGTTTAATTTGTCTATGAGTGGTATATATAATTATTTATATATGTGTATATATAGTTTAATTTGTCTATGAGTGGTATGGAAGGATGAATATATAAATAATTATATATATATATATATATATATATATGTATGTATGTATGTATGTATGTATATTGATTTTAAATAATCAAAGATTATTAAAGAAGGTGTTAAACACATATATACATTAAATAACATATGTGTAGGTATATATATAAATCATTTAAGATGATTAATATTATCATTCTTATTTGGCATATCTTAATAGGCTGGTTGTTAAATTAATGATATGCATATAATAGGCATGTGATGGCTATGTATGATTTATCGTATTGTTAATTTTAAAGTTAATTCATGGTTAAAGTGTGGGCATGGATGAATTGTCAAATGATTAAATATATTACCTAAATATTTGTATGAATAGAATACATATATGGAAAGCATGGATGAATTGCTAATTAAATGTATGAATAAATATACCTGTGGAGGCATGGTTGAATTGCCAATGTATAAATATACATACACGGAGGCATGGTTGAATTGCCAATGTATAAATAAATATACTTATGGAGGCATGGTTGAATTGCCAATATATAAATAAAAATATTTACAATGGCATGGTTGATTTGCCAAAGCATAATTACGTTGTTATGTGTTAGATGATTAAAATATCATCTATGGTTGTTGTATGTATGGATTGGATTAGGGTTAGATATTCTTAAATGAGAATAGTTTAGTACTTACTGGTTAGTGTATTATTTTACATTAATAAAATAATATTGGGGAAGACGTGGATGATTTGTCAAAACTTGGATTTTGGATATGTGATTTAAACAATTAAAATCATTATCGGGTTAGGATTAAATAGAGTATTTCTTTTATTATAATTTGTTGTTTAAATGATTAAACAACTGACTAGGATGGGATTAAGGTCAAAGGAGTTTTTATAAAATGAAATGGTAGATTGGTCTAGGTATGAATATTATTCTAATAATTATTTAATAGGTATGAAAATTTAATAAACCTATTAATGGATGTGATTAGTATAGTATATATAATTATATATATACATACACACACACATATATAAGCCATGATATAAGCTTGAGTCTCAGGATCAGTGGTTAGGATGGAGGCGTATATTGCCGATTGAGATGGGTAGCTGGGTTTAAGGATGTGTGGGCTCTGGTAGAAGGAGGACTCGTAACCACCTTTGTGTGCGTTTTACATGAGATACCCACTATCCGGTTGAAACTGCTTTAGTCCAGTGAGAGTCTCTAGTGTGTACTTATATTTATCAATTATATAAATATGGAATTAGCTAATTACGTGATGTGTCTGCTAATAATGAATATGTGTGGATGGGTTAATTTCCACACGGATAAAAGGAATAATGAAATTTGAAATTAAATAATCAAAGTTTTTATTTCATGGATTTGTGAATTCCGAGGACGGAATTCCGTTTGTTAGGGGGGAAGAATGTAATACCCCGATAATTTTAAAAGATTTATTAATTAGGATTAATTATTTTATTTTATTTTTCAATGATTTATTTTATTTTATTGAGTGCTAGATTAATTATCTTATTTTAATTAAGTTATATTTCGTGATTATGTATGATGATTGATTGTTTGTGTGGTTGATTATTGATTGAATTATTGGTGTGTTGATTTTATTGGTATTATATGACTTAGTTGTAAATTCTTGTTTGTTTATGTGCTTCATGTAATTAGTTATTTTAATTTCTGTATTTAATTAATTATCTTATTTATTTAAATTAATTGGATTGGGCTTAAGGAAAGTTAGACCAAAAGATGTGGTCTTGGGCTTGTATGAAACCTTATTGGGTTAATTAATGAAGGTCCGTGGTTATTTAATTATTTAAATGATCACTTTTGTATCAATTATACTGGACTGGGACAGCTACAGGGTAATCACCAGGAGGGGCAGTCAAGTATATTTAGGGGTCATTGCTATAAGTGTGGAGATTATGGGCATTCAGCCAAACGGTGTCCTGGGTTGGCTCAGAAACAGCATGGGCAACAGGGACAGTGGCAACCATTACCTACTCCACAGATTCCACGTGTGCAGGCTCAGACATTTCCGGCCTTACCAGCACCACCGCCACCGCAGGGACAGCCTATACAGCAGTTGCATTAGGGTATGGTGTACAATGCCACACCTTGCAATGCATGGGTACCTCAGAAGAATTGAGGTATGTTTTTTTTATTTCAAGGTAGATGTAGAAATGACTTAGTAGATATAAGTGCATCATGTTCATTAGTATCTGGATGGTTTTGGCTTATGATGGTGATATATATTTATACATATATAATCCATTATATCCACATAAAAGTAAACTATCCAACCATATTATTTCAATGGCATACCATCCAACTATTCCGTTGACCTGACACGAATAAGTAGGACTTAACGCTATGGTTAATCCGTTCCCTTATAAATATATAGGTAGGACTTAACTTCTTTGGTTAATCCGTCCCTGAAATGCCACCGTCCCATACCGGTGTACTAAACCATACAATTCATAAATAAATAGGTAGGACTTAACTATTCCGTTAATCCGTCCCTAAAATACCTCTATATTATTTTATTGGTGCATAAATCCATAAAACCCATACTTCAAAATTAGGGGAAGACTCAACGATTTACCAATACCTTCTAAATCGGTGTCTTACCATTTTCCTGATAAGACTCAATGATTTACCATTAGGACACACTAACGGACCGAATATAGAATACAATGTATCCTAAACTTAAGCTCTAAAGAAACGAGTACACAAAGCGGAATTCACATAACGAAAGACACCCTAGGGACACTTGAACCTGGAGTGCTCTGATACCAACTGTAATACCCCCTAATTTCGGAACACGGGTTGATCAAGTCCGCGCACCAAATCAGGGGATATCAAACCAATTAAAGTATTTAAACAAGCACGGATTACAACCTGAAATAGAGAATAAAATAAAACGCTGAAGAAATCCAATTAATAGTAAATCCATTAATAACTTCCAAATGGTTACAACTCGGGAATCCCGTAACTCAAGGACCCCTTAACCAAAAATTACTATTTAGAATTTCAACCAAATAACTACTAATATCAACTAAAACAAAACTAATATCCTACTTTTAAGCAAATAGAAGGAATGGATAAGTCCTCCAGCTACGGATCCTCAACCTTGAGACTTGACCTTCTAACAACCTGAAAAATAAATCGCGGGTTAAACCCTACGAGCAAGTTCTCTCTGCTAAGCCTCTGAAAACCAATAAACAAATCATCTTTACCAAAACC